AAGAGAAATGGGGAGTAAAGAAGGTGACTAAATTCCCCAGTGTGTTCATGTTCAATTTCATTTGTATTTGGACAGAGATTTGAAAAGATTTTCAAGTTATTTAAACAGGCTGCCTCTTTATGTCTTAATCTAAACTGGGCATCTTTCTAAATAGATGTTTTTAAAAGCCCTGCTATAAACTAATTATAAATTACTGATATGATGCAGGAATTCCTAATTCAGAATCAATGGCTTGTGGTATTTTACTGTTTCCACTGGATGATATACTGGTTAATCATTAAGATGATTAAGAGGAAGACATGAATGAAAGTAACTGCAGATGGTTCTTAAACTGCTGGAGTGTTACATCCAGATTTCAGATAGACCTCCAGCTGTTTATGTTCTCAGTATGCAAAGCAAAGGTTGCCCCACAATTAACTTTTACTGCAAGCACCCAGCCAAGACTTTGACTACACAAATGCCTACTAAGAACATTTCTACAGTATACCACTTCCTTTACATTTATACCACACTTCATTATAGGTGGTAAGTAAACATTAGATAGCAAGCAACCAACAAGAGTCCTTTTGTCTACTACCCTACATAGGAATCATTTAACCTTAACAGGGAAGATGTGCTTTTGCAGTTCAACCAAGCTGGTAGCAGTCTTTCTATATTTGCTTTTCCTTAAGAAAATGCAGTTCATGCCCTTTCCCACTGAATAAATGGTTCTAATTATCTGAAACATTTCACATTTTTTCCAGTGTTTAATCACTGGCTTCCAAAAAGCCTGGACTTGGAACAGAGCCTTGAAATTCTGCATGACCACAACAGTTGCTCTTATCTGACTTAATCTTGCCCACCTCAGGGATAATTTATAGCTATTTGATCTGCTGTGTAAAATACATCCAAGGATAATGATCTATAGCCTCCTGCAATCCCACTTGCTCACACAGGATATTCCAGGGTTGCTTTGGTTCAACAGAGAAATAATATTTTCTAAAAGTAGCCTCAGTGAAAGTCATTCCACCCAGGAAAGAAAGCCCTGATCCTCCATTTCTCTTGTGCACTTGGTGGGCCACTCTTGGCACTCTATGGGCAGCAAAAGCTTTCTGTGAGGGCACCTTTTGTCTGGGAGGAATCTTCATCCACATTGAATTTTGGGAGTCAAATGGCCAATTTCTGCACAGAGCTCCTGGCTACTTGTTTTGGAAAGTCATTTTTTCTGTGTGTAAGTACCAAAAGTCTAACTTGGGATAATGCTGCTTCCTCAATAAAGACACTTGCCAGAAAATAAAATAAAGCAATTAAAAAAAAAAGATACTACAGCCTATATCATTAACAACGTTCCTGAAAAAGGGAATCTACACTTAACTGAATGTCTGTGGGTTTTTCTAGTGCCTAAGGAGATTGAACTTTACTTGTTACTTGTTCAGGGTGGGGGAGGATCCTCAAACAAACACTTGGGTACAGTGTTTGTTGTGCTCCAGAAGTGGCTGCTCCTCAGTACTCTGATGGCTTCAGGCAAACTGGAGTTAATCATATACTCTGCAGAATGTGGAAAACTGGTGGCCTCTCGGGTGTTTGGGTTTGAAACTACTATTCACTCTGCACAAGACAAAAAAAGAAAGGTGTTATCCCAGGGAAGAATCCTTTTTGTTGTTGTTTTCTGCTGTTAGCTGAATGACTTAATATTCCAAGAAAGTTAACTCAGATGGATTTACGAAGATGAATGTGTAATTAGGGGTATAATCCACCTCCATATCTGAGAAACTGTGTAAAACCAGTGAGAAGGAGCTGTACAGCAACAGTCACATGTGCCCCTTAAGCCTGATGCTGATAGTGACTCCTTGGCCAGAACCTTTTGAAGTGTGACCTTTTGAAGGCTCGTAATGGAAAGAGGAAGAAATGTCTCCTGTCTGTAAAAATCTAGTTTCCCCTCTCCATCCATGATAAATTAACCGCTTTGTTAAGGTGACAGTTTACCCTGTTTGGATGCCAACAAAGGCAAAAAAATGTGAGCATGCCTGCCTGGCACAAAGCATGTGAGTAAGCCACATGCCTCTCTGCACCTCTGGCTTACTGTGCCAAGGCTAAATTCACAGAAATTCAGAATTTGAAATATACCTAAGAATGTATTGGATGCAGCATCAAAGCATGGACTTGATCACCGTCATCCATTCACAGTCTTGCAGAGTGTAGTAATGCATATTTTCCTGCTTATTCTTAGATTGACCCCTGAGAATTATTTTAACTCTTGCTGAGATTGGGGGAGTAGACAGGCTACACTAGAGCTTTGATATATTAGCTGATTAGAGCTTCTGGCAGCCTTCAGGATGGGGTTTCTCAGCAGCAAGTTCTCCAGAGGATTTCTGAGGGTGGGATTACTGTGAAGTTTTTTTTCTTGATCGCAGCCCTGCTCCTAGTAGAGTGTGTGAAACAAAGGTTCAAATGTTGGCATATTCCCCTATGGGATAGCAATATTCACAGTAGAAAATTTCTCTATCTGAAATAAGCTACACAATTTTTTTTTTCTGATCAGTGGTGCATTCAGATGAAGCATAATCTGTGGTTACTAGTATAGTTATATTTCTGCACTACTTTTCCCAAGGTCACCCAAATTAATGTAAAAAGAAAAAAAATCGTAGAAGTTACGTGATTGTTTTTCTATAAAAACAGAGTATTAAGAATTGAGAAATCAGGAATTCTTGATACCTCAGATGCCTGAGTTAGAAGTATAGTCATTGTTCAACTCTGATGCAGTCTTTGTAGAAAGTTTAACATCTGAATTTCATCCAAAAGTGCTAATTCTCACCAATGACTGTAGAAGAATCCTGCTGTACCTAGGTTCTTAAATTTCATACTTAAATTTGGGTGGGATTAGTTCCACTCACAACTGCTAGCACCTTCTGGGGCTTACTTCTGTTCTTTAAAAGCTTTGAAATCGTTGATAGAAAGATAACTGTAGGGGGTTTTTTTCTCACCCTTTTTGGAACTGTATATGAACCTTACACTGCTAAACCACTGGGAGACTATCAAGAAATAGTATCTTTCAGACAGTTTAAAATAGATTCAGAGTAACCAAAATGCAGAAGATGCAGTGTATCCTTTCACAAGTCCCACAACCTGTGCAGGTTAATCCAGCAATGTAAAGTAATGCTCTTCATTGCACGTGTGATATTAGGTTTAAGGAAATTTGAAGACTATCTAAGAGATTTTAATTTGCTCCCTGCAGTAGTTAATTACAATCTGTGAGTGCTGGTTTCTCTCCAGTGCTTTTGCTAAAGAAGGTGAAAAATTTCTTTCTCTCGTCTAGCTAAGTAAAAGAGCTGGGATCCTGAGATGTGTAAGATCTTTTCGGCTTCCAGTGGAGATGCTGCAGCCGAGCAAAAGTTCCTTTCCACCTCCTGGCTGTATACTCCTTATTACAATGTGTTGCTAATGTTTATGAAGGAATTCACACTGTTACCATCTCTTGCTGCTGTTCTCAGAGTCCCACCTATAGACTTTCAGAGGAAGAAACATTTCCTTTCCACCTTCTTTCATGCCCCTTTAGCAATAGAATCCCCACCACAGGCATGGCTGAGTTGCTCACCCCTGCCTTTCCAGCCCTTTGAGCCACATCCAAGCACTGTCCCATGAAGCTGCCACTTCACCCCCACCCCTTCTACACCAGAGTATCAAGCCACAGGAGAGGCTGCTGCCTCTTAACTGTATTTTTTACTCTCTTAACTGTATTTACTCCCTTAACTGTGTTTTTTGTGTGGTTAGGAGGGAGAGGAAGGAGGAGCAGCCCAGACAAGATGACCTTGGTGCTTCCTCTGCCCTATTCTGTGGGTTCAAAAGGCTCTGGAGTCCCTGGGTGAGGATCAGCCGGTGTGGTGTGATAAGGTGTTCACATGACCATGTTGCTGCATTTGTCATTTAATTTCTGTACCTTTGATTGTCATGATGATGTAGAAGGCTAAACCCATATGCAGCTCATGCTACATTTTGGGTTGATGAGATCTAGAGGGAATTAGTATCCTCCAGCTGTTCATTTGTGGAGAAAAAAAGAAAAGGAAGAGAAATTATGAATACTCTCTCTTACTTGTAGCAGTATTTAAAATATTGATGCTTCTGGAATAAATCCTTTGCCCAAAGGAGTCTTAAATGTACTGAGCCTGGAATGTTTATTTACACCTCCTTTGAGCCTGTCAAGGTCGGCCAAGTACAGACCACAGAAAGTATCAAGCAGACAATATAATAAAATCTAATTATTACAAAAACTTTATCAGTCCAGAAAACGCATGTAGGAAATCTGTAAATGGGGGGCAATTAAACACAAGTATCAGCAAAAAAAAGTTAATTCAACGCTGGAAAGTATCTTACGGTGAATGCCCAGTGTAGGCTGAAAATAAACAAGTGATCTATGAAACGGAAAATACGATTGTGTTACATCTTCAGGCCCCCATGTATAACCCAATCCTTAAAAACCGATCCAACATTGCCACCTGCAGGTCGCTTTGGTGAGGAGCTGGAGGGGCCACGGCAGCCTGCCCAGTGAGGGGGACACGGGCACAAGCGTGAAAGTGGGATGGGACTGTGCCCTGGTACAGCCCGAGGGATGGCGAGTCTTTGGGCGGGGCATTAACCAGCACAAATGCGTGGTTATATTCTTCAAACGCAAAATGTAGCGCTGCTTTGAGACGCTGATAATTAAAACACTCTTCCTGTTATAAAAATGCCCGTTTCACTGATTTACGAGAGAGGAAATCATTAATCATGGAATCATTCAATCAGTCAGGCTGGAAAAAGACCTTTAAGGTCACTGAGGCCAACCATTACCCAGCACTGACAAGCCCACCACTAAGCCATGTCCCCAAGTGCCATATCTAAATGGTTTTTAAGTCCCTCCAGGGATGATGACTCCACCACTTCCCTGGGCATCCCGTTCCAGGGCTTGAGAACCCTTTCCATGAAGGAATTTTTCCTAATATCCAATCTAAATTAAGTGGACTTATTTTTTGCTGTTATTTCAGATGCAGCTGGGAATGGGAAAGCATGTGTGCAAGAAGGGAAGAACTATATTTCCAACACTATATTTTAATCTAAACGTAATACTGGATTTCTCCACCTTGAGAAGCTTGAAGGCTTCTTTTTTTTTTTTTTTTAAAAAAAACCCATCATTCCTCAAAGAACATAGAGGTTGTAGGTTATGCTAAACGAAACTAGTGATACTGAAACTATTCATTGCAACGTGTTGTGAAAAACATGTACTTCAAGTAAGCGTTTTGGACTTATAAGCATGTGGGACAAAATGAGAATGAACTGGAAGACCTACTTCTAAAATAATTGAGAGCCTCAGAATTATTTGGTGTTCTTCTTTCTATTCTCTCTGGCTAGTTTCAATCATGATATTTGTATTGAGATTCTCTCTGAGATTTGGAGTATTTCTTGCCTTATTTCAGAGCAAAGACATCAGATTCATGTAGGCTGTATCACTTGCAGCTGTATGATATGCTCCAATCACACTGTAGGGTGTTTTTAGAATTGGGATCCTGAAACCTCATAACTCTCTTAATTTCTTTCTCTCTTCTATCTTGGAAGTCTGTGTTGTGCTCATATCCTAGTTACATCACCATAGGCCAAGGAGAAGCAAATGGGGCCGTGCTGTTGCTTCAGCCTCTGCTTTAGAGTTTTGCTTCTGCTGCATTCTGTGAATTGTGATATGTAAACTTCTGTTGGCCATAAATCCCCAGTCCTGTCAGAATGAATGCAGATCATAAAAGGGAAAGGAAGGATAGGATGCATATTAACGTTTATAAGCTTTGCTGAAGACATCTGGCCTGCGGTGATTTGCTTAGAGGAGGATGAATTGTAATGCAAACTCAGGAAGAAGGGGGATCCTTTAATGACAAGTGTCAAGTATACAGGAAATGTATTGTTTATAAGAGCCAGTGGAATCAAAACAGAATTATAAAACCTTTCCAGGACATCCCTGATGCTTCAAAATGCTTTAGAGAAATCTATTATATTTGGAGAATTTCCCCAGCCTGAATCCTTCATGTAATAGAGTTTTTTCTGCAATGTCTTCTGTTTTAATAAAGAACTTTGAAATCCAAAGTTACAACGAATTAAGTGGAGGCTACACTGTGTTGTTTTGTCAGCAAATAGACTGGTTTGTGTTAAATGAGAGTGTTTGTGCCCTGTAGTGAAAGTTCCACGTTCCGACTTTTTTGTTGCAGATGGACATCAATATGAACCCATAACTTTACTTCTGTGGATGAACATCTGCATCCCTACAGCCTTGCTGCCAGAGGAGGGACTCACTAACCCCAGGTATCTCCCTGGTGAGCTGGAGGCTGGTATGAAGATATCCAAGCTAGCAGACCTTCCAACCAGTGTGAACTTCCAACGTGGCTCTGAATGCAGCCCAGCCATTTTTTGGAAGTGTGGTGCTGAGACTAATACACCTGCTCCAGAAGAGTCTGGCTGTGGGTCCTGCAGATGTACCTGGGGACAGATTGGTGAAGTGAACCAGACCTGTGATATGTTTTCTAAAGGACAACACTGGACCGATTGAATATTCTATTAACAACAGCACACACTCACTTTGAAAATGAAATACAGACAATGGAAAATTGCTGATTGCAGAATACATGGAGGTCAACTATTACAGTCTTTGTGTGAAATAAATATTGGATACTAACAAATAAGTGATGTTAGACTGAGAAATGTTAGAAGACTTCGGCTTTTTGTTCTGAGAACGTGTTTTTGTAGACCATCAGATAGGAAGGCTACAGTATATGTTTTAAAGTTAGGCTTTGTTTTTCTCCATTCCAGCTAGAAATTTTTTGAGAATCTGAGATTGAACGCCAAGGCTGTCAGGAAAGTAGCTGTGTTGTTGGGAGTGCCGAGGAGAGTCCTGTCTGGCACCAGGAGCTGTATTTTCTAAAAGTCTTTTTCTGAAGGAGGTTCAGGACAGCTGAATTCCTTTATTTTTTTCATCTCTGTAACTAACTGTTTGTGAGATCTAGAGTCATAAGCAAATAAAATGTTCAGTTCTGTAAGTCAAAATCCTCAAAAGGCAGGAGAGGGATCAAAATTTTTCTACTTGGTAGTAGTGGTTCTGGATTGCTTGCTGCTTTCGATTTAGGCTTGCTTCCAAACAAAACATAAATTTAAGACAACAAAGGAAAAGAAGATTGAAATAGTAAAAACTTTTCAACAATTTGAGATATTTTTTCAGGGTTCAGTGAAAAGATCTAAATCTCTCCTTGTAAGGCATATTTTTCATCATGTTTCTTTAAAGCCTCCCTTCCACAATCAGCTAATTACAATTAAAAGTGATGGGAAGGGTCACTCTCAGCAGTTGCTAACTGCAGCTAATCCATTACAGAAGGGGAAGAAGTATCTCATCCAGCTGATACAGGAAAGAGCTTTTAAAGAGTTAGATCATATTGCCCAGACAAGAACTTGGCTATGATGATGCATTTAGCACCCCTAATCTTAATGGATGAGCTATGGAATGTTTACTAATCATGTGAGCAGTTAGGAAATTGGTTCTATGTCTCATCAGAAGAAGTTAAAGAAAAAAGAAAAGGAAGGAAGATGTGGGTACCTGCCCATGTATGACTAAATCAGTTGTATCCATTGCATATTTTCTCACTTTTTTGGGAGCACCTGCTCAGGATCCTTTTTGTGGTCACAACTTTTCTGCTAACCAAGCTGCAGAATTATTATCTGCAGCACACTTGCAGGTGCTTACTTGAAAGTGGTTGGTAAACCCTAAGCAGAGATTTAATTGGACACTTGGATAGCACAGTCCTTCTGTACATCACCTGTGTTTATTACCTTGATTACAACTGTATTGAGACACCACTTCCAAATAAGAGCCTTTTGCTGGGTGCAGTGGGGATTTCTGGGTGCTGCTAGTCTCCCACGAAGGAGAGTCTGACCAGTATTTGGGAGCTTTGTGGTGTTTGGGAGTGAGAAACTGCTGTTGGACCTGTGTATGCATCTCTCCTTGAAGGTTGATCCCAGGAGCAACCTCCCACAGGCATCTGGCTGGGTTGAGCCATGTGGTCCTCACTGCACTGAAGGCTCCCACATGCCCTAAGAAAGCCCCACGACCAAAACACATTGCACAAAGACAGCCCCTACCCAAAGTATCTGGAGTTGCAGTGAAGCAGAAGGGGCTACAGATGGTAGCCTGCAAGAAAAAGGTGGCAGGGGAAGCAGAAAGAAACAATAAACACCTCTACTGTTAGAGGCAGCCCCTGCATTAACTATGGTGCTCCAAAGCTCCCACTGTTTGTCTGCCTTCATGTTTCTCACATTTGCTGCTGAATACAGGCACCAGATTTTTTCACTTTCCGTGGGTTTCTCCCAGGCTGCTTATGTTCAACTGTGTTTGGGATTTCTTTGAAGGATGGAAAAGCATTGCTGTTTACTGGGAAGGGCTGAGAGAGGATCTCATTATCCTCACTGCTTGAAATCTCATGAGGTCCCTTTCCATAGCCACGGTTTATTTTTATTAACCCGCAGACAGCATTACATTATAATAATGACTGAGTGCTGACGCAGGCTGAAATCAGGAATCACTGAAGTTAAAGCTGTGTATGCTTACATAATGCTGCTTCTCTCTGCATAGTTTTGGTTACACAGCCTGATAGCATTTCCATTTTGCCTCTGCCCGCCAGGTAATCAATAAGCTCTTTACCACCTTGAATAATTGCAATTAATTTTTCAGACCCTCAAAAGGGAGTTGGTGGAGATTTCTCCTCTGCTGTGTGCCGTGGTGTAGCTGCACAGAGGTGGGGTCAGCAGAAGCTGATGCTTTACCAACTCCACCCCATGTGCAGCCCATCAGGATTTTAGCCAAAATTTAGCCATCGTGGCTTAAATGCCAATCACAGCCCTGGCATTTTTTTCTCTTTTGCTTTCCTCAGATGGGGCTCAAAGCAGGAAGCTGTTTCATTTTGAGTGTCCCAGTTATGCTGATGGGTTAATTGTAGGCATTTGTAGGAGAATGAGGGAGCAAGCACCCATCTGTAGGCACTACTGCCTTTCTAGGGTCCTACACAGTTTGTTTATGCTGCAAGACAAGGTGGCCTCACTCAATCTCACAGGCTTGTCCCAGTGAGTCTGACTCATGTTAGTGACATGCTATTTCATTTATTTTAGAGAAATTTGTATTAATCACCTTGTTAACTCTGCTGTTAAGGAGAAAAACCACACCTTAGGGGTTACCTATATTTATATGTTTTTAAACTTTCATGTGGCTCAACCCAGGAAGTATTGTGGATTTGTTTGTGTTTTTTGTGGTGCTTATACTGCATGATATATCTGGCAGTATGAGGAGCAGAAATGACCTTTGAAATGTCACAAGCAGCTAAAAATTATACTGAACTAATTTCCTCTCACACTTAGTACTTCTGCAAAATAAGGAGAATTTGTTTAAACTCAATGGCCCAGTCCTACTGTGTGTTCCAACACACATTTATCTCTGAATGGGAGACTTGATTTTCTTCTTATAAATTTAGATTTAAGCAAGCCAAATAATAGGCTAGGTTAAAAATGCCAACTGTTTCCCAAAGAAAATTTCTCTGCCTGCACAAGAAAAAATTACCTTTTTAACTTCCAGTGTAGGACAACCAAAACACCTTGATGGGTAATTTTCATTTAAATTATTTTTTTTGGTATAAAAACTGTGATGAGTTCTTTGTATTTTGACAAAATATATAACATGAAAGCAAGTATCCCTCTCTTTACTTGTCTTTGTAACAGCAAGGTATTTTCAAAAGCTCTATAGCATCTTTAGTTCTCCTCTTTCCAGCTTTTGACGGTATGTAACTTATTGTCACACTGCTACAGCTTTTCCTGTTTATTTTGCTATCTGTAATGTCAAACAGCATAAAATCCAATACTTGCCTGCTATATGTGGGGTTGGGCTTTGGGCCTCTGTGGACAGGAGGAGTACAGTATCTCTAGTACCTCAGAGTTTAAATTACTTTTTCTTACTCCTGAGAAATCAGCAAAACATTTCTTGGAATGAACAATACATTTGCAACGTTAGATAAATATATGAATATTCTGCAGTTTTCCTTATGATGGAAATTTATATTCTTTTATATTTCATTATATTCTTAACACATACAGAGTGTTACTGTGTAGGGAGGGGAGGGGGAAGGTTATTTCACTTACTTCCGGAAAAAAAAACTAAATAGGGTTTGTTTGGG